GAAAACGACCGGTCGCAAATAGCCAGCGACCGGTCGCTTGTCCAAGACTTAGTATCTTTTATGCGAGCCAATTTTCCAACATAGATATCAAAATATGAACTCCTTGATATGTTCTAGTAATAGTTGTCAACAAGTCTTGAACAATTAATTAAATGTTAATTCTCTTCACAATAAGGACTTATGGGTAGTAGAGTGGGTTAGGCCAGTTGTTTAAGGTACTATGCTCGCCCCCTTGCACTCGAGTTCGATCCCCTTCCCCTTATATTAGAATAGTTTAGAATATGGCTTTGAAAAAAAAAAATTTGACTTGTGGGTAAAACATGTACTTACAAGAATATAGGCAGCATTTGTGGTGGCAATTATTTTGAGACCACCATTGAATGTGTGTGAGAAATGAGCTAGGAAAATCATACCAATATGTCTGCTACCCCTTCTTGCACATTGGTAACTACGGCAGCTATTTGAAAATGTGGATGAGACCAATTGATTTGGAGGTACGTTATCAAGATAGACATTATCGCATGGTTGACGAAGCTATGGGTGAAAACCAAACCTACATGTATATATATATGTGTGTGTGTGTGTGTAGAAATAAGAAGAAAATTGATTAGAAATTAGTTTGAATCACACTCCTTAAAATATATCATTATACTTTCATTTTAAAGGATCTCTGAGATAAATACCCTGGATGCATATTGTAGCCTTGGAAAAGTAGAGGTACTTATGGATGCACTCTCTCACAAAGTGAATGAGTGCTCCCAAACCCATTATTGAGGAGGAGAGTGCGGAAAATCTTCAGTCGATGTAAAGGAAGTGACGGAGGGTGTTCGGCTTTTGCAAGCAAAATCTGCAGTCTTCACAACTAATTAAATTAGTTCCCTCTTCTCTTGCAAAACGAAATGCATATTAGCCAAAAATAATAGCAATGAAAACATATAATGCAAAGGAAGATGCACTCTGTGAGTGTGAATGGTTACTCTGTGTGTGTGTGTGTGAGAGAGAGAGAGAGAGAGAGAGAGAGAGAGAGAGAGAGAGAGAGAGAGAGAGAGAGAGAGAGAGAGAGAGAGAGAGAGAGAGAGAGAGAGAGAGAGAGAGAGAGAGAGAGAGAGAGAGAAGGAGGTGAGGAGAAGATGCACTCTGTGAGAAAAACTTATGCAAAGGAAGTTTGTTTAGGCAGTGTGGAAGAGGCGAGTGAGAGAGACTTACATACATAGTAAGCCACCATTGTAATAGCAACCAAGAAGAGAAAGACTTCTCTTTTTTTCTTAATGAAAGGAGAAGAGAAGACTTTCTCTTCTTTTTCTTTATTTTTTAAATAAAAAAAGACGAAGACTTTTTCTTAATGAAAAAAAAAAAAGACGAAGACTAATTTCTTACATATTTTTAAATAAATAAATAAAACCAGAACTAGAAGACTGAGAGGTGCATGAGCCCCAATCACTGAAGACTTGAGAAGAGCAAGCAACAATATATATATATTCCATTGAAAGTCTTTGAATATTTGGTCGAAATAAAGAAATACCATTACAAGTAAACGAATTTAGGAAGAGCAACTTAATAGTTCAACAACTACCATGTGACGAAATTATTTTATTTGATTTTTCTAATAACTAGAGTTGCATTTTTCTAATGACAGCTAAGTTTGTACATCCTTTTGAAAAACACTCAAGTTTGAAAACGGCAATTAAAGTTTGAAACCTCAAACAGATGGTCTGATGTTTTTGCTTTTGAATATTTTAAGTTTTAAATCTTTTAAGGTGCAAATATATTTTAAGTAATAATGTGTGAAAATGTGTACTCAGAGAGAGAAAGAGAAAGATGAACAAGGGAAAGTTGGTTTCAGAAAGTATGGAGGTCGCCTTTGCAAAGGGAAGGGAGAGAAAGGGAAGCCGCCTTTGCAAATTGCATTAGCAACCAATAAGAACGTACTCTTTTTTGTTTCTTTTGAAGAAAAGGAAAAAGAAGAGGAAGACTACCTTTCTAAAAGGAAAGGAAACAGAAGACAAGGGTCTTTGCAAATGTTTTAATCATGCTCTTCGTCTGTAGGAAAAAAAACAAATAGGGCCCAACTCCATATAAGCCACAGGTCAACTACAACATTGGTAAAACTTGTTTGTTGTTCAGCCATTGCGCGTCCGCTTGGTGTCAATCAATGGCGATGAGCAGCAACAGTGGCTTTGTGCCATTTTTCTTGCGACGCAAATATAATAATATAACATACCATTGCAAACGCTTTTCGAAACTAAAAAGGCAAAGAGAGGGGAAACTCCCTGCATCTTCTCCTCCCCTTTTTGGTTGAAATCATGCTTCATTCATTGAACGCTCCAAAGCGGGGGGGAGAGCACCACTAGTATAAAATAGGGGGAAACAAAAACTGAGGCTCAATATATACGCACTCCCCTTCACCTTCACCTTCACCTTCACCTTCATCCTCTTTCTCTTCTTTTCTCTATATCCAGTCCATACGTACTCACTCTTCCAGACAATACACAGAAGTGGAGAGAGTCGGGTAAATCTTGGAGGTAGGCATCTCTAGTCTTTCTTTCGGAGCATAAATATTAAATATATATTTGTACTTTAAGAATTAATAACGCATGTTCGTTTGTGTTTTCGATGTTTATCTGAACTACATTGTGTATATTTCTTTAGTAATTTAGTCTTTAGCTTTGTCAGGAAGAAGATATCTCTCATTGCTTAAGGTTTTTAGTTAAATTTCTGAACTTTGGGTCATCGCTAGCTTAAGGTTTAGAGTACAGTTTGATTTCGAATTTTGGGTCAAAATGAATAATTATAATTTCATAAATCAATTATATATGTTATATATTTTACTATAAAAATGAAATATTAAAGATGAGTGTGTTTAAACTAGATGTAGAGTTTCCTGTCAAAAATTAAAAATAGAAGACTAGATGTAAATTGATCATATGTTTTAACAATAATTATTGTTTCTAGTAGTTAGGTTACAAAATATATGTATGTGAATTCAAATTTCAAATTGAGTAACTATTAGAAATACATACTGTCATATTTTTAGGGTTTTTTATTTTAAGAGGTCTCTAAGCTTTTTAAAGTCCTCATTTTAGTCATTAAACTCTCAAATCAATCAATGCAGTCCTTCATCTTTTGGTCTACACATCAATTTGATCTCTGTCATCTCATTGTGACAACTTTCGTTAGATTTGGTCATGTTTCCAACTTTAAAGGGGTATTGTTATCAAAATATAGCTAATTTAATTAGTCTTAAAATTTACGTTTTTGCTCGACAAGTTCTTTTTCCATTTAAAGTTTGGTTACATCAAGGCAACCAGATAGAATTATTGAGCAAATAATGAGAGCTTTACTTTATGTTATGGCTGGATATGTTATGTTTAAACTAAGACTTTGAGGGAATGAGACAAGAGTGACCAAACTGATGTGTAAACCATACACCGTGCGTGCATGTACTTACTGGATCTGCATATTTGTCGTTTGATTTATTTTTCTTGGCCAAAATTTTCAGTAACCCACCAAATTATGCACGCAAGTATATTAATTAACCTACACATTCACTAGCTAATTATATAATTAATGCATTTTGGAAGCTATGATTGCAGGTTTTGCCTGCCTGCCAGCCATGAGAGCATTTTTCAGAGCGGACTCAATAGTGAGGCTTCAAAGTATGATTCGCCTAGGGCTTATCTGGGGTCGTTGCAACATCCTTCCCTGCCAATGCATTGATTCAGTGAGAAGGTGGCTTGGAAACCACTTCTACTTTTCCACGGCTACTACACTGATCCGAGGTGATTCATCGCTGAATTTTGAGTTTATCTAACGTTAATTCATTCGAGCAATTTGGAATTGAAAACAACTGTTTCTGACTTCTTCTGTTGCTTTGTGCTGGCATAATATATATAGGTCTGGTATTCAGCCACAGCTACGTAAACAATGCGTTAGTGTCTATCTTAATGACGTACCTCACTGAGAATTGGCGTACTAGCAATTTTGCAATGGCTGCTCTAGTTACAAATGTCCAAGAAGGCGTATCAGACATCATGGTGATTCTTCTTGCTCGTATATCAGAGACGCACATGACTCGTTTTAAAATGATTGTCTCCACAAATGCTGCTTATTTACTTGTAAGTCTTCTTGCATTAAAACTTAAAATTAAGCTTGTTCTACCATTACAATTCAATCTTGCATCCCCTGTCACTTAAGTTAATTTCCATATGTAAGATCCCACATCGACCAACAGAGAGGGGATTGATGTGCCTTATATGTACATGCCCGCATCTATATAGCACGAGGCCTTTTGGGAGCTCACTGGTTCGGTGTCGTAGAAACTCCGAAGTTAAGCGAGTTGAGGGCTAGAGCAATCCCAGGATGGGTTACCCACTGGGAAGTTGGTCTTGAGCTCCCAGAAACAAAACTGTGAGGGCCAGAGAGGGGGGCCCAAAGCGGACAATATCGTGCTACGGCGGAGCCGATCCGGGATGTGACACCATGAGCGTACCTTTGCCCAAAAAAAAAAACCTATATATGTTAATTAGTTGCATGCATATATGCAGGGTTGCTTCTATTGTGGATTTGTTCTAAGTTTGTGAGCGCACAAACTGAGGCTAAGGTATACTATGGAGCAGCGGTACTGATAGGAATAGGAGAAGCTGGTCAATCGGCTACCTTGAAGGAATTTCTTGACGATCAATATTTCAGTGAACAGAAAGAAAGACCGTCCACAGATGAAAATTATTTAAAACGACTGGAAACTCGTAAAGAAGCTTTGTGGCGCCATCCCTGGTTTTTAGGTGCATTGCTAGCTGTTTTCCTTCCAACTCCGTCCTGGACAAGTACGTTCATGGTTTCAACAATTTTATTGGGAGTCTCTTATTTGCTGTTCTTGCTTGGCTACTCCTGTTACTTCTTAAGTAGTAGAATTCACAAATCTACTTGGAAATCTCGTCTGTACTATCTTAAAAAATTATCCCTTGTCTATCCAGTACAAGAACAAGAACAAGAACAAAAAGGAGGAGAGATTTGCATAGTCACAAGAAGAGTGACCTTGTCCTCCTCGTGTCCACCAAAAGAAGCACAAAGAAAAAAGTTTTGGCCACTCATAGAACTGAAGGGGGGAAAGGGGTTTTTGATAGAAGTGATAGCTATGTGGTCGGCCTTCTTCGCATACAGTTTGGTGGAGGCAACAGGGAGCACCTTATTTTTTGAACAAATGAGTAGTTTGGATACAGATAGTGGCATTGGGTCAGTGATGGACGTGGCAGTATTTTTAACACTAGTTAGCGGCTTCTCAAGTTTCTTAGTCTCATTTATCTACAACTTAGTGATTCCAAAGCACTGGAGAAAGGCTACACTGGTAAGAATTGGCTGCGGATTGGCATGTTCTGTGCTATGTTGTGTTGCAGCTTGGCAGGTTGAGGGAAAGAGGTTGAAGTTAGTTAGCCGTAAGAGACGCGAACATGGCACGTCTAAGACGATTCCTATGAGCGTTGCGTGGTTAGTTCCACAGTTCCTCCTGTTGGGACTGATGGAAGGGCTAGCCCTAAATGGATTGACTGAGTTCCTTGCTGATCGAATTGCTAATAATGATAGGCTAAGGGCGAGGTACTATTATGCATCCCACATCTCTGAGCTCATCCTTGGTGTTGGAAAATTAGTTACAGCTTCTAGCATTTTAGTGTTCAGGCGAAGTTGGTTCCATCCCAACATAAATGGGAGTCGCCTGGATCGTTTTCTCGAGCTATTAACTTACCTAAGTCTTGCTAACCTAATTTATTACATGTTTATCTCCGTATTCTTTTATCGCAACGAGAAATCACGAAAATCTGCTAACAAAGGAAACAAACAAAGTAGTCTGTTGGAACAAGTAGAGCAGGGGATTCATGCTGCTGAGAAGGAGGGTGACGTTGTGGAGGCCCCAGTCCCCGTATGTGGTGCGGACTTGGAAAACGAACAAACCGCAGAGGAACAAGTAGAGCAGGAGATCGATGATGATGATGAGGTGTGGACTTCTGAAACAACCAAAGAGATCAAGAAGTGGAGTTACAAAAACAGTCATTGTTGCTGTTGGAGAGCATAGCTCTGACGTTTGTTTCTTTGCAATTTCCCAGCAGGGTTCTTACTATTTTGTTGCTAAAACTTAAAATTGTCGTTCGCGAAAATAGAGCCAATTGGGTCAGGTTTCCATCCTCATGTCCCATCTGTTGTGCGTAGCGGAAGCGGATTGCATTGGATGGTGGATATGAACCATTGAAACAACAAGAGCAAAATATGAAATACAGAAAATCCAAATGACACCAAGGATTTATACTGGTTCAGCCTATGTGAAGCCTACATCCAGTTCGAAGACAGCGAGAAATTCCACTAGCATCCCAAAAAGAGATTACAACCAAAGGAGATTAACCCTCTCACCTCTCATAGAAATTACAGAGTTTAACTCTCACAGCCCAAATCCAAAATACACCCAAGTCACTCTCAAGCTAACCACACACAAGAGCCAAGAACACAGGAATTGTTCTTGCTCACTAGGAAAGAATACACTAAGAACAATACAAAGAAATAAACCTCCCACAAACACAAGGAACAAATGAAGAAGACTCAACCTTTGAAATGGCTTCATCTTCCCGCAACATCTTGTGTATCCAAAGAGGAGTTTATCTCCACCTTCATGGTGATGCTCTCTAGTGTTTCTATCTGTGTGGAAGTGTCTGTCACTTCTGCTTTAGCCTCTCTGAGCAATGGTGCTCACGGCACCTCCAAATGGTGAGGCACAAAATGCCCACTCACTAAGGGCAGTTCCAGCAGCCCCCTAGGGCTGGGGCTGGGGGAGGGCAAGAGCCCAAAAGTGAGTTCCAGCAACACAGGCTAGCCCGAGCAAGTGGTGGGGTCCACGAGCCTGGGCTGGCCCGAAGGGGGAAGGGGCCCGAGCGACAGCCTGCGGGCTAGATGACGCAAGCGCTGACGTCATGCAGGCGTCAGCAAGGCAATTCAAATTTTTTTTACCGTTGGCGCGTGCAAATTTGCGACACGCGCCTGTGCTTTCCGCCAACGGCTATAAGCCACGTGGCGGCTCCTGACGCGTCCGATTGTTTTTGTCCTCCAATCCATAGGCAGGGAATTTTTTGAGCAAAAAAATTATGAAAAAAATTTGAAAAATGTTTTTAAAAAATCCCAAAAATTACTGAATTTTTTTCTATAAATACCAAGCAATCCTCTTCATTTTTAACAACAAATCCTCATACATTTTCTCCTCCTCCAACTATTATTCACTTTCTACTCCATATTTTTTTCACTTTCAAGTTTAATTTTTCTCTATCATATTATGGCTTTTTCTCGAGAAACCGGAGGGGCATGGAGCATCATGGAAGATGTCTTGTTGTGTGAGTGTTGGGTCCAAATTAGTCATGATCCCATATCGGGTAATGAGATGAAATTCAGTCAAATGTGGAAAAAAATTCATCACGAATTTGTTCAAAGATCGGGTTCCACCCATACGGAAATGGCCTTATCTAGTCGGTGGAAAATTCTCAACAAAGAATTGGGGGGAAATGGAGAGATGCCCTCACAAAAGCGATGGATAACCAAAGAAGCGGGGAAAATCTCAACGATGAGGTAAATTATTTGTATTTTTCATTTTATTAATTTTAATGTCTTATTAATTTTAATTTAAATGTTTCTTGCAATTTGTATATTTTGTTAATATTTCTTGTATTTCCATATTTATTTAAATGTTTCTTGCAATTTGTATATTTTGTTAATATTTCTTGTATTTCCATATTTATTTAAATGTTTCTTGCAATTTGTATATTTTGTTAATATTTCTTGTATTTTCATTCATATGTTTATCTTTTTTGCATTACCAATATTGTTTTTAAGTTCCTTGCATATTCAATTTTTTTTTATATAGATTGTGCAAGCTCAAATGTGGTATGGTGTTATTGGACAAGGGAAAAAAAACTTTCAACCATACCCAATGTTGGGAGGTGGTGAAGCATTGTAAGAGATTTAGCATTATTCCAACGGCTCAAACAGTGGTGTTAAACGAGACGCCACTCCATGATTCACAAGGTTCAGATTCGCCTATGGAATCCCCTATGAGTGAAGACTCACCCATTGAAAAGGAGGCGAGGCCTATTGGGAGGAAGGCGGCGAAGGCAAAGAGAGGAATTAATTCTACCAGTAATGCCTCTAAATTTTTGGAGGAAATTGCAAGGCAAAGCGCCTTGAGACTTGAATTAGACAGGAAAGGCCAAGAAGATGAGGGCAATGCGAATAGAATATGCTAAAGAAAGGGAGTATGTACGCAAAGAAAGGGAGTATCAATGCAAAGAAAACGAAGACAAGAAGGATCGGGAAACCATGGCCATGGATACAAGCCATATGTCTCCTGAAACAAAACAATTTTGGAAGCTTGAACGAAAGGCTATTATGAGACGAAGACTTTTTCGTGATGATGGACCTAGCAATACGGATTGGTTAAATGATGAAAACCCTTAAGTTAGTTTGCTTGCTTTTTCATTTCATTGTATTTTAATGTTTTGTTTTAAAATTTAGTTGTAATTCATGTATTTTATTTTATTAGTAGTATTGGTTTTCTTTGAGTTACCAAAGAAACTATTAAATAAAATTCCTTTTTATTCAAAACATTCCATACATAAAAAACTAACCACAACCAAAGCATTAAAAATATAAAAACAAACAAAAATTTATATGAAATTTAAAATTTGAAATTTATATGAAATTTGAAACCGAAAATCTTATCCGAATATTTTATCAGAAAATCTCATCCGAAAATATTGTCCAAATTAATTGTTTAGGTAAACAAATTTGTGAAAAAAACAAAAAATTGAATAGTACTAGCCCTTTGCCATGGCAACTGCTGGAAGTGCAACTTACTGTTTACAAGGGCAGACACTATTGAGGTGAATAGTATCAGCCCTAGCTCCCCCTTGCCATGACAAGGGTTTTACTGCTGAAAATGCCCTAACACGTCTTGCTCCTCTTTTGTAGCCAAAGGATTTGGTCCAGCTCTTCCAAATTGCTCCGCAAGAAAAGGAGCATTAATATGCCGAAAGTGCACAACTACTAGCATTGGAAAAAGAAGCCAGCCGCTCCTCTTTCTTGACTTCGCTGCAGACACAAACCCACGTGCACACAGTGAAACAGTGCAGCCAGCCTTTGCTTTTCCACTGTCTGCCAATCAACTTTGTTAAGTACTGACCTACGTTTGGTGCTGCGTCGGACTAAGAAGCTGAGTTGTAAAAATAGTGAAGACCTATGTTTGGTGCTGTGTCGGACTAAAAAATAATTCTTGTAATATTTAAATTTAATTTGAAATTTTGACCTAAAAATAAATAAATGCTACAAAGAAACACAATTCAAAGATTTAAAACAATAAAACAAATAAAATTATGATTGTTTATGAAGAATAAAATTTTGATATTTTTTTTTTGGCTTCTCAAGATTTATCTTAGTTGCTCCTTAGCCTTGCCCCAAGACTACTACAAATCTTCTATTTTTTGTTGGTCGAAACATTACTAAGGAGCTAAACTCACTCTATATAATTCTACGTCTTTCATGGAAGACCAAGTAAAAAATAATTTTTAAAAAAAAATATATATATATATATATATGTATATGTATAATTTTTGTATATTTGACTTTTGACTTTAAACTGAAAAATATAATTTAACAAGGTAATAATTGCTTGCGATAAAGAAAGCAGCACATCATGAATTATTAAACTTGTTTCAATATAAAAGGAATATCAAGCATTTGTCAATTATTATAGTTTGATTTTCCAAATACAAATGTGGTCAAATGCAATATCAAAATAATTCTTGTAATATTTAAATTTAATTACGGATTTTGACCTAATAAATAAATAAATGTTAAAAATCCCAATTAAAAATTTAAAACAATAATAAAAAGAAAACAAATAAAATCCTAATATTTTTTAAAGAGAGGAGTCGGACTAGCGTGTTCTATTTAGGAACGTGCTATTTAGTGAACCACTTTTCGGGCTCACTATATTAGACGGGCGAGTGAGGCCTTTTTTTCACTATTGGACTATATAGTCTCATTTAAGTTAGTCCCGTCTGTTACCAAATATGGGTTTCGAGTGCTATTTAGCCTAGTCCAGTCCAGTCCAGTCCAGTGAAGCGTACCAAACATACCCCAATTGCTTTAGGTGTAGATCACTAAAGTGCTGGCTCCCACTCCATCTCTTTGTCTCCAGCCTTTAAACAAAGATTTCGACCACAAAAAAAAAAGCCTTTAAACAAAGATGACATGTGCCATCATTTTCCCATTTGAAAACCCACTGCATGACAAATGAAGAAAGCTAGCAAACGACAATAAAGTGGCCCTTACACAATTAATTAATCAATACAATTTGGGCCAATTTTTAACAAGGAATTCTCTTCTTTTAAGAAATGTCATTCCTTTCTAAAATGATAAATGTCATAGTTAACAAACAGTATAGCACATAAAATGCAATAACACACACCGTATTACAAAACAAGTATATAAAAATATACAAAACCAGCAAAAGTCGGAGAAAAGACAGCAAGAAAAAAACATTAACGATGTCAAAATTACTCTAAAACTTAGGTAACTCATGTGGCTTGTTTCTAACCATTAAATTATTTGTGATAATTCAGATTAAACTAAATACAAGTAAATACTTAATTGGTAAGTCCAGAGGCACCGTATTACAAAACAGGTATATGGTATGTAACCACACAAAAAAAATTACTACTTGCACGTCCCATTGTTAATTCCAAATTCCAATAACCAAATGACTGGAAAAATATATTTCAATAACTACGTTCGCAATTTCCTCGGTGGTGTGGTCCAAGTTTGAAAATGACCATCATATATATAAGATCTGATGAATCTCAGTGGTTGTTGTTAATTTTAGTGATTATTCTGAATATACCTCCTAGTGATTGTTGTTAATTGCAGTTTGCGCATCTCAAAAGCACATATTGTATGTGAACTTACCCTTTTTTGATGCCTCAATCCTAAGAATAGAAAATGTTTGTTACATTTGGAACTTTTATCAATTGCCAAACATAAGATGTTGAAGACTCAGAGGTTGAAGACATGTCTTTTAAGCACAGATATTGAGGATATAAATTTTAAATACTGAACATCAGACAACAGAGCGGTGTTGTTTCCTCTTCTTGGTCAAGGAAAAAGACACCAAAAACATACAAACATGCATGCAATTTAAACACATATAAATCTGTTTACAAACTCATCGACAATAACTCGTGTTATAAGAGATCTAAACGGTCGCATTTCCATATTTCCACTTCCATTATGGCCTTGTTCATGTTCTTCAATGGCAGAGTTTTCTGTGTCATCCTTGCTATAAAAGTAAAAGGCCACACAAAAGTAGTAGACGAAGCTACAGAGACTTAGAAACGTTAGCAGTCTGTAATACTTGTCCAGACGACTCAGATTTATGCTGTCATTGAACCATATTTTACTTAATGCCAAGATAATAAGAGCGGTTAATAACTTTCCAGTCCCCACGACTAAGTCGCTGGTGTGGGATCCATAATACATAACCATTTGTTTATCCTTCTCGTCCACTCTATCAACCAAAAGATCAATCAATCCATCTACGGCTAACCCTTCCATAAGTCCTAACAGGAAGAACTGTGGAACCAACCAAAACATGCTCATAGAAATAGTTTCTGAAGTGTCATCTTCAAGCCCTGCCCTTGTAACTTTCCTCATCCTGTGGATCTCAACCACCCAAGCAGCAACGCAACATAACACAGTAGAAGCCATTCCACAGCCAATTCTTGTCCGCGTTCGCTTTGGAATTAGTTTGGGGAAGAGAAATGAGATTATGTACTTCGAAAAGGAGCTAAGCACTTTGAAATAAACTGCGGGGTCATAATTGTGGATGGGATTTTTCAAGTTACTCATTTGTTCGAAAAAGAAGGTGCTCCCCGCTGCCTTTACCATACTGTATACAAAGAAGGCTAACCATGAAGCTACAATTTCTTTGCGCAAACGTTTTTTCTTCCTCACCTTTTTGTTCAGTGTCCAAAGGTTCTCTCTTTCCGTGACTTGGGGATGCCCTGTTTGTGCTTCTTTATTGTTTTTCAAATAATCGTTGTAGCCAAACCAGAACAATAAATAAGAAACTGCCATTGCAATTGTTGAAATCATGAAGATCTGAGTCCAAGTTGTTTTTAAAAGGAAAAGAGGTACCACTGCACCTAAAAACCATGGAACACCCCAGAAGTCCTTTTTATCCCTTTCTGCCGTTTCTTTCATCACCTGTTGATCACCTCCAGCTTCTGTATGCTTTTCTGCTGTTATATCTTTCTGTTCGCTAGCTTCTTCCCATCCTTTCGGTTGTTTGTCATCTGTGCGTCCTGTTTCTTTATGTTCGCTTAAACATTGCTTGTTAAGAAATTCTTCCAAAACAGCGGATCGCCCAGATTCGCCTAATGTTAATAGTACCACAGCTCCATAGAATATCCTGGCCAATGTTGCGTAGTCCTCGCGCTTATATTCATTAGGAAGCCATAACAGAGATAACCCCTGTATGATTCACAAGAATAACAATCAAAATAGTTGTCAACAAGTCTTGAACAATTGATTAAATGTTAATTCTCTTCCCAATAAGGACTTATGGGTAGCAAAGTGGATTAGGCCGGTTGGTTAAGGCACTGTGCTCGCCCCCTTGCACTCAAGTTCGATCCCTCTCCCCGTATATTTGAATAGTTTAGAATATGGCTTTGTAAAAAATAATTGACTTGTGGGTAAAACATGTACTTACAAGAATATAGGCAGCATTTGTGGTGGCAATTATTTTGAGACCACCATCGAATGTGTGTGAGAAATGAGCTAGGAAAATCACCAATATGTCTGCTACCCCTTCTTGCACATTGGTAACTACGGCAGCTATTTGAAAATGTGGATGAGACCAATTGATTTGGAGGTACGTTATCAAGATAGACATTATCGCATATATATATATATATATATATATATATATATATATGAAATAAGAAGAAAATTGATTAGATATTAGTTTGAATCACACTCTTTAAAATGTATCATTATACTTTCATTTTAAAGTATCTCTGAGATAAATACCCTGGATGCATATTGTAGCCTTGGAAAAGTAGAGGTACTTATGGATGCACTCTCTCACAAAGTGAATGAATGCTCCCAAACCCATTATTGAGGGGGGAAGTGCGGATAATCTTCAGTCGATGTGAAGGAAGTGAGGGAGGGTGTTCTGCTTTTGAAAGCAAAATCTGCAGTATTTACAACTAATTAAATTCGTGTCCTCTTCTCTTGCAAAACGAAATGCATATTAGCCAAAAATAATAGCAATGAAAACATGTATGCATCATGAACAAATGAATATGCATGGCAGTACTAATAAACGTATTGACTGTACAAACCTTTGGAATGCCTCCCTCAAGAAAAAACAAAAAAGCAAACACTAAAATCTTTGCATAGGTATATGGCACCTGCTCTCCTCAGTGTAGTATGCAGTGGTGGACCTTTCACAACTCTCCCGAAGAGAGACACAATCCAGCATCAATACTGTCGCTGCCGTCGAGACAAAGACAACACTAGCCACCTAGAACACTGCAAAAACAATCGAACAAAACAAACAGACCTAGATCCAAACAGATCTAGACTATTTGGGAAGGGGAAGGGGAGGAGAAGAGGGGAAAAGATGGGAGAAAAAGAAGGAAGATGAGGAGAGGAAGGGGAGGAGGGGCAGTGGTCTGTGAAATAGAGCGTGTGAATGTTTGCTGAGAGAGAGAGAGAGAAGATGCACTCTGTGAGAAAAACTCATGCAAAGGAAGTTTGTTTAGGCAGTGTGGAAGAGGCGAGTGAGAGACTTATATAGTAAACCAAGAAGAGAAGACTTATCTTTTTTTCTTTTGTTGTTTTTAATGAAAAGAGAAGAGAAGACTTTCTCTTCTTTTTCATAATTCTTTTTTATAAAAATTTAAAATAAAAAAAAGAAAAAAAAAGACGAAGACTAATTTCTTACATCTGTCCCGTTCACCTAGACCCCCGTAGTCCAAGGTGTTTGTGGTCACCCACCTTGGATCTAATTTAAGGGTGGAGAAAAAAACTTATTTTAAAATCCATATTTTTTACTCTATTAGTTAAAAAAACACATTTTCTGGAAAAAAAAATAAGAAAGAAAAAAAACACATTATGAAAACTTGGAGTGCAGCCACTGGCGGACCCAGAAATTTTTTAGCGGAGGTGCAATATTGACTAAGTATGAAAAATGGTTTTTTGGAATAATCATTTTCTCAAGATAATTTTTGGCGGCTTTTGTTCCTTACAAATCAAATAAGAAAACTTGATTTTATGGGATTTTAGTATGAAGTATATATTGACTTAATGAGCCATCATTTTTAGCTTAAATCGTATAACCGAATTTTCATATTTTGATTTCGTGGGAATTTGATTTTCTAGTATTTTTATTTGAATCCAAATGGGGGGTACTTCCTTATTTACATTGTAAATTTAAGTAAATGGAGTAATATAAAAATAAATAAAAGTAAAAGGACAAAGACATTTACTTAAATGTTGAAGATGGAAATAAGGTAATCTGTACACCAGTTGAGTAAAGGGGCAATTTCAAGCACCTACAATGGTTTTTCCGGCGAGGGGAGGTGCAGCTGCACCTCCTTATGCCTTAGTAGGTCCGCCTCTGAGTGCAGCCGCTGTAGAATTCGACCCCTTTATCACCTTCTGATTCTTCTGACATTGGGGCAGCAGATTCTTCTGATTCTTTTGCTCTATTTTTTTGGGTTAGTTTTTTCAGCTTTTGTGGATGAATTGTAAAAGAAAGAAGAGCCAATTTGGGTGTTATGACTTTTCTTGTTCTTCTTCACCACTTTGATTCAATTTTTCTGGTTTGAAATCCTAGATTTGAATGATTGAGGAACCCATATTTGAAATCATAACTTTTCTTGCTCTTCTTCACCTTTGATTCAACACATCATTGATTTATCAACCAACCAATATCAATTTCTCAACAACAAAAGAAAAAAATTCGTTTTTATCAATCAAAAAACAGAAGAAAAAAATTCGTTGCTATCTTATTAATCAAAACACACAAAAAAAAGCAGAAGAAAAAGATTCGTTGCTATCTTATCAATCAAACAACAAAAGAAAAAAATTTGTTGCTATCTTATTAATCAAAAAACAGAAGAAAAAGCAAAAGGAGAAACCCAAAAAAGTAAACAAACCCAGAATTTAAAAAACGAAAACTGAAGTTTTCCGAATATCTTGTTTCTTTGAGAGTCCATATGAGATTAAAAAAACTAATTAGCAAAAATAGAGCAAGTTTCCAGACTAAGCTAAAGAGTCGACTTCAACCATGAGATGTGGTGTGGTGGTAGCTCACCTCATTCCTTAACCATGTGGTTGGGGGTTCGATCCCCGCCCATGGGAATGGAGCGCATTTCGTGGCCAGCTGTTTACCTCCTTTGGAGAGCTCCCGCGGCGAAAGGGATTAGTCACTACTGTCGGCGGTGGACACCCTTGGATCTCATCCAAAAAGAGTCGACCTCTACCATGGGGTCGAAGGAGGCTAGGCAGCGACTCCGCAAGTTTCCAGAAACGTGTTTTGTTTTTGGTTTTTTAATTAATATATTATTCAGTGAAAGAAAATGAAATAACCTTTTATGTGTTTTAAAGTAAGTGTTTTCTCCACCCTTAGATTAGATCCAAGGGTGGGTGACCACAAACTCTTGGACTACAAGGTTCAGGAGAATGGGAATATTTCTTACATATATATATTTTTTTAAATCAAAACCAGAAGACTGAGAGGTGCATGCGATTTTCAAGTGTTTCAATGTTTTGTTTTATATATTTGTAGGTAGAATGAGCCCCAGTCTGTGGAAGGAGGCATTCCTACTTCTTGCAAGTCATGGTTTGAAACATACGCAAAAATAATTCATGAAAATCACAAAAAGAAAAATCTCTACACACATACCAAACTGTGATTGACAGGAAAATAGAAGTTCCTACTTCCAAGAAATGAGACAAGTATTTTCTATTTTTTAAACGAAAACAAGTCCACAACTATTTTCCTTTTCGTTTTATCAGAACCAGAAGACATGAGAGGTGCGAATTGTAACTCTTTCAATATTTGTCTTCATCTGTATGTGGCTGCTGTGCGTCCTAATCATCGAACGACTAGGAGCAACTTGCAAGTCTTCATTTTGTATTATTTGATAATAGTAGTTGTTATAAGAGAACTTCTCAGAACAAATTTAAGACAACTATTCTATTCTTCCTCTTTTTCTTCTATACTATAGCACAACAAATGAAAATTAAAAATTAAAATTGAAATAATTATCAAAATGGGTCCTTAGAGCATCACCAATAAAAACGTATATTTTAAGGAAGTCACGTCAGCTGTGGAGCATCAGGACCCAAGCATTGTCCTTTTAATATCGACGCATTTTGTTCCTATTCAACCCATCAATAATTGTAGCTCGCCAGCTAGATTCTTGTTTTAGGATTAATGTGCTTAAAAATTACAACATGTGTCACTGCTTTAAACGTATATGTATCACCACTAAATTTCGACTCTATTCACGCTAGAAATCTGTTTTTGCCCAGTATTCTACCTTGTCAGTCAAGAAGTCGAGAAGATAATATTGTATTTGTTGAACCAAAAAAATTCACAAAAAAATTTGGATTGTGTTTGGCTAAGCCCACGTCCAACAAGCTTATCTGATTGATAAGTGTTTCAAAAAGCTAAAAAGAAAGTAAAGCCAACTATCCAATAGGCTTTCCAAGTTTCAAAGCCAAGGGATAAAACAATTCAAAGGTGGGTTGATCCCCACGTGAAGATATTCTAAAGGAGTTTTATAAAAATAGGAGTTTGACCAACCAATGAAAGCTCTCAAGGGAGTTTGGTGGTTCCTATTTTGGTGGAGTGTTTATTGCATGAAGAGTCCTTCACAGAAGTGATCTCTGATGGCTAGCCTACAAAAAGCACGGCTGTAAATAAAAAGGGGAGGCTGAAAAGAAAAAGGGAGGGCTCACAAGGCCACAAGAAAGGAGGGAGGACAGCCGAAAGGCTGGAGAAAAATAATAAATAAAAAAAGAACATAAGCAATGCATCTGCAACAAAGCTCCACTCTTGAGATCCTCCATGTTGGGTGGCAACCCTTTAATCAATCAAATGGATGGCAATCCATGTGGGATGACATTCCTTGAATCAAATTTCTTGGATGTTCAATTCATCATTGAGTTTTAACCCTGAAATCAAAGCATTGGGTTTTTACACCCCGGATAAAAAAGTTTGGGTATTTCACCCTGAAAACAAATATGGGTTTTCACCCTGAAAACAAATTTGGGTTTTGCTCCCTAGAAATAAAGCCAGGGTGTTCACCCTCAATCAAGGCTTTGGGTTTTTACATCCCAAATAAATCTTGAATACAAAATCCATCATGGGTATCCATTTTGGGGCATAAAGCTCATTCACTGAGTTCTCTGGATGACAAATCCAATTTGGGTACAAAACCCACAAACAAAACCATGAAGGGGTTTAATCTCACAACAATTAAAAATGGGTTATACCTCTCCCTTTGGAGAATCTGATCAACTCTCTCCCTCTGTCAAAACAAAGGAAGGAGCGTAGCCATGGAATCCCGAGCTAAACAGATCCATCAGCTACTGACCCATTTGGGAAATGGGGAAGACAGCAAACAAAAAGGCTTGGACGAGAGGCTTTGTGTTTTGTTTTGGAAAAAGGCTTGTTACAGCACCCAAAAAAAAAAGAAACAGCAAGAGGAAGGAGTTGTGTTGGTGTGTGAATAGACAAAAGGAAAATGAAGACAGCCACGTTTTTTTTTTTGGCTTGGCTTGTTGTTGTTTGCATATAGCAGCAACAAAGAAAAAGAAAGAAGACAGCCACTGAAAAGAAAAAAAGAAGAGGATAAGTCAACAAGCAAAACATTAAAAAAAAGGAAGAAAGCACAGCCACTTTCTTTGAATTCGCATGTGGACAAAGAAAAAATGGGGCCAGCGGAGAGAGAGGCAAAATAAAAAAGGAGGAAAAGAATATGGATGACATTTCTTTGCAACCTTACTGTTTGTTTTCTCTTCTGCTTTGTGTCAGATAGCTCTCATTTTGGATTAAATTTGGGAGTGTAAAGCTTGGAAACAAAATATTTTAACAGCCGCTGTTTTGGCTTCAATTCGCTGTTGGGTACCAACGCTTCTCTAATATGAACTCCTTGCTCATAGGCTAATTGATAACAAACATCAAAGGCCCGAGACAAATTATTGGGTTGTCAAAATATTTGCCCATTAATTCTCCAAAGTCCCAAAGTCTCCAAAGCCTAATATATTTAATGGGTGGTCAAATAATTACCCATTAAATTTTACAAATGCCCAAATTTCCTATTATATGGTTAATTGATTAATTTCCTCATAGTCATATTTGGGATCCAAATACAAATGTCAATTTTAGAAAATTAGTGAGTTAACCAAAATTGCTCATTATTTTTCTTGGACATTGACAAAAAGAAAAAAAATGGTACAAAACCATTCCAAATTTTCTCATGGGTCATCTACCCATGAAAATTCCAACGAGATTAAATTCAAATCTCTCAAACAGAAATCCTCAATTAGTGGGCCATACTTACCCATTAATTTCCAATTATCCCCATGGGTCATCTACCCATGAAAACTTCAATGAGATTAAATCCAAATCACTCAAACACAAATTCTCAGTTAATGGGCCACACTTACCCATTAATATCCAATTTTTCCCATGGGTCATCTACCCATGCAAATTTCAATGAGATTAAATTCAAATTTCTCAAACACAAATTCTCAACAAGTGGGCCACACTTACCCATTAATTTCCAATTTTTCCCATAGGTCATCTACCTATGAAAATCTCCAAATTATCTCAAAGACAAGACACAAATTCTCAATTAATGGGCCACACTTACCCATTAATTTCCAATTTTTCTCATAGGTCATCTACCTACGAAAATCTCCAAATTGTCTCAAAAACACAAATTCTCAATTAGTGGGCCACACTTACCCATTAATTACAAATTTTGGAACTATGCTGGTTTGATCCCGTTAAGGGTACGTAGGTAGTCTAGCATCCTAATAGACGCAACCGCAAACAAATTTGAATCACTGGTTACATCAATCAAATTCTCACAAATCAAATCTCTCTCCATACAAATCTTTTCCGAACTACGCCGGTTTGATCCCATCAAGGGTACGTAGGCAGTCTAGCATCCCAATAGACGCAACCGCATCCAAACCAAATCTCAAGTTGTACAACACCGCACCAAATCCCAAGTGGTACAAAACCACGCCAAAATCCCAAGTTGTACAAAATCACATCAAAGGCCCAAGTGGTACAAAATCACGTCAAAGGCCCGAGTGGTACAAAACCACGCAAATTAAACAATCTTTTCTGAACTACGTTGGTTTGATCCCTTCGAAATGGTACGTAGGCAATCTAGAGATTCAATCTAGATGCAACCGCCCAAATCACAAAGCCAAACAGAGTCCCTGGTTATTCTTAACCAAATTCACCCCAAACACACATCAAAATTGAATCCATGGTTTATTCAGCTAAATTCACTCAAACACTCTCTCAATCAAATTCATACAAATTTTCCCTTTTGCAATGAGTCATTCATTTATTGTAATTCTTTGAACTACCAGTGGCTTGATTCCCGCGATGGATACGTAGGCACCCTAAGGTTGGACTTGGGAGCAGCTGCAAAACCAAACACACACGTTCTATTTCTTTATGATGGAATCAAAGGGTTATCCCTTGAAGCAAGGGATTGTAATTAAAAGACTTGCGTCTCGAATGAGTTGAACGTAAAATAATAAAATCCCATTATTTATTTAGTGATGGTGAAATTGTGTTGGGAAGTTCACATTTTTCTTTAACAGTATTAAAGTTATATAAATAACAGGGTTAACAATAAGGTTAAAAAGAAACATGCACTTTCTGGATGCCTGTGCCTCATTCATTCCTCATATTCATAATGAAAAAGAAAAGACAAAGAAGAGAAGACTTGAGACAGAAGACTAGGCAACAACTTGTCGTTTCAAATATCTCATATAGAGAGCAAATTTGTCTTCTCCTCATCTTCACCTTCACCTTCATCCTCTCTCTCTCTCTCTCTCTCTCTCTCTCTCAGAGTAAACAGTAGTGGAGAGAGTCTGGTAAACATTGGATTGGAGGTACGCATCTTTGCTTCTATAGTCTTTCTGTAGGAACAAGTTTTTTTTTTTTTGGTAACTGTCGGAACATATTGATACTTTACAGATGCCATGCTCATTTTGTCTTTACCATGCTTTTCAACATATTTGAATTCCTCTCTTTGATCAGTGATCCTAGCCATCTGGACTTCATTTTGTATTTTTCTTTAGTAATCTAATATACTCCTTTGTTAGGTTTAATTTTTATTTTATTTTATATAAGTAATAATCTAAATTATATTAAATTAATCTAATCTACGAAAATGAGGATTCAACCCACATCTACCCTTCGTTAGAATCTCTCATTGCTTAAGGTTTATAGTTTAATTTCTGAACTTTGGGTCAAAATAAATAATTATGATGAAATACGACAATATATATTTCAAATAGTAATCCATTCTATTTGAAGTTTGAACTCACATACATATAACCTATACATTCACTAGTTTATATTATGCATTTTGGATGCTACGATTGCAGGTTTTGCTTGCCATGAGAGGATTCTTCAGAGCTGACTCAATATTGAGGGTCATCGCAACATTCTTCTCTACCCATGCATTGTCTCAGTGAGAAACTGGATTGGAAACTACTACTACTTCTCCGAGGCTACTACACGCATCCAAGGTGATTCATCCCTGTTGAATTAACATGCACTCATTCACTGAATTTTATCTTGTATACTTCTTTCAAACCACCTTAGTTTCTGATTTCTTCCGTTGCTTTGTGATGGCGTATATATGTATATATAATATTATATATATATATATATATATATATAGCTCTGGTTTTCAGCCATAGCTTCATAAACCACGCGTTTTATATATATATATATATATATATATATATATAGCTCTGGTTTTCAGCCATAGCTTCATAAACCACGCGTTAGTGAATATATATCTTGATAACGTACCTCACGGATAATTGGAGTACTACACATTTTGAAATGGCTGCCCTAGTTACAAATGTTCAAGAAGGGGTATTGTGGGAGCCGAATTAATTCGTAACCCTAGGTCAAATAATTCCTTCTATTTGGGGATTATTTGACCTAATTGGGAATTATTCAATTTAATTGGGGATTATCCAATTAAATAGAATGTTACCTAATTAGGTTGAGGATTGATTTGATTCCTACGAATATTCTCAATTAATGGAGGAGTTACCTAATTAAATTAGGTATTGATTTGATTGCTATCCTGATTAGGGATTTGATTTAAATCAAATAAATCAAATCCCTAATTAGTCAAATCTCGCCAAATTGGGGAGGAATAATTCCCTTCTATCTACGGAATTATTCCTCTGAAACCCTAGCTCCCGAGATCTCTATAAAAGGATGGCCACATACAAGGGTTGAGGTACGTCTAAACTCCTACTGAAACTCTACATAAATTATCTCTCAGAAACCCTAGCCACCTCCTTTCTCTCCCTCTTTTACATAAGGCTCCGGCCACTCGGTTCATCCCAAAAACACATATAACTCCGTACCCTAGTTAGCTAGTGTTTTCTTTACAAAACTCTTGAACTAATTTAGGCATCGGAGGGCCTTTGGCCAACACCCCCCGGGTGTGGTCCTCTTATTG